CTGCAGCAGCTCTGCTCTGGGCTGTTACTCTATTGAACAATTTCTGGCTGTTTTTAGAAGGAACCCAAGGAACCCCAGCCCAATGCCGTTGCCATCACTAAAGGGCTCGGTGGCCCTGCCAGGTCACTGCAGTCTCTGCACAAGGCTCTGGTAGGTTTTCCTCTCCCCTTCCCAGGAGTGATGCTGCTCCACGTACTCTTTGGCCCTGGTCACAATTTCCTTTTCCAGAGTGGGGTCACTCATTAAACTCTTGGACAGCGTAACAAACTCCTAAAAAAGGTGAAAAAAAGAATCAATTAAAATTTCTTTGTAAAGGTCCCAATGCTACTGCAGTAGCTGGTACTGTCCAACTGTGAGGCAATGCATGGAGCTGTCCTGAGTCCTTTCTCAAGGTCAAGTACCAGACTTTATTTATAAACAACGACTAATAAATAATAATTTTATTTTACACAGCCCACCAACTAAGACATTAAAATCAAAGACAATTCACATCTAATGACACAGAAATTGTCTGCCTACCCAATGGCTGGAAAGCCAGGCTGGTTATAAATGAATTGCCTGTTCTGTAATCTGGCATCAGATGTTTGAGCTCAGCTCAGCTAAACTTTCACCTCATTGGTGCTGCACCCTCAGTGAATTTCATGGTAAGGCTAAAAAGTCCCAACACAAACCCAGTGTAAGGAAGGAGCAGCATGCAGCACCTGGGCAGGTACAGATACAGCAGGGTCAGCTCAACAAACACCAAAAAACCCCAAATATTCCCTTGAACTTCACTGGGCAAAATACCCAGAGAGCTCAGAGTTCACAACTGTCCTCTGCCTGCTCCTCTGCCTCTCATTGACTCCCAGGCAAGAGAAATTGTGAACTTCAAACACCTGAAAGGAGATCTGATGTCTGAACTAATCTGTTCTGAGCAGCTGCTCCAATTTTCCATCAAGAGACAGCTTCAGCTTGATTGCAAATGTGCTCAGATGTGTGCAGAGCAGGGCTGGGTTCAGCTCAGAAAGCAGCTCTGGTGGCACAGGGAGATTGGGATAATGTGTTAGCACACAGTGAGGATCAGAGCATGGGGACAGGGGGACACAGAGGACCCATGATTTACACATAAATAATGCCACTGTGCAGGGAGATAGCCCAGCCAGGAGCAGAGTTCATCAGCATCAGGTTAGGGACACAGCTGTCCTTGAACAGCCAAGCACACAGAGTGCCCAAATACCTGCACAAATGTCTAAATACCTGAAAATCTAAACACACAGTGCCCAAATACCTGCACAGCTATGAAGGCTTTGGTTAAACTCTGGATTTTTGGGTGAATTCGCAGCTGCAGTGCACAATGCAATGCGGCTGATGGGGAAATCTCTGAGCAGGGGATGATCCCTGCTTGGGCTCTGCCTGCCAGGACAGAGCAGCAGGAAAATTCAACGCCCAGAGCCACAGAGCCCTGCTGTGCTGGGGTTTGTACCCAGGTACAATGAGGAGATTTTCCTGACACAGGTGAGCAGTGAGCTCTCACTGTACCCCAGGGCAGTGCTGGTTATGAGCTGGGCTCTGGGGAGCTGTGTCCACCTGCCTGGCTGGTCTAACTGGGATCTCAGCCCTTCCCTGGGGGATTCTGTGTCTGCCAGGGCTCACCCAGCCCCACAGACACCACAGAAGGTGGGGAAGTCTCACCTGACCTCTGCTGCCTTCATCCACTTGCCTGGAAAGTCACAGTGATAAATACTGTTCCCACTGAACCACATCCCCAACTTTAATTTTATGCTCCTGTGGAGGATTTTATTTAAAGTAATGTTTTAAAGTAATTTATGTAAATTACCTAAGAGCAGAAGCAGCAATGTAACATTTCTTGACAGGTAGTCCTATTAGCATTCTTTTAAATTGTGGATATGGAGGACAAAAACTTGGAAACATGTAAATGATAGAAGAAATGAGATCCTTATTCACAGTTACAATACTCAGGGCTGAGGATAATTTCAGGAAAAAATGCCAAACTGAGTCCAAAGCCTTAAATTTGAGAAAATGCAGGAGAGAGAAGCAGCAAATGGAAAAATCCCAGGAGGTGGCAAGTAAGGACATCCCAGCTTTATCCTCCTCCTCCTCCCCCTGCAGTGAGAGCCCACAGTCACTGCAGTCCCCTGGGAGCAGTGGGACACTCACTGGGATTTATTGGGTTTCACCCTGGAGCAGGGCCTGGCCGTGCCAGTGTGGGTGCTGAGTTCAGGGAGCTCAGGTGTCCCCCCTGCCCACAAGTGATTGAATTCCAGCTGTGGGTCTGACTCTGGATTTGCAGCATGCAGACATGCACAGCTCTGAGCCCTGCAGGAAATGCAGCATTGCATTCTGCCTTTCCATCAGCCTGTGACACATGAACTGATTCCAGGGAGGTAACACACCTGCAGCAGCTGCTCTGCTCCATCTGGGATATTTGCACAAATATTTGTGCACTCCCATATTTTGTTGTAGCTTCAGTTTTGGTGAAAAGGGTCAAATCCACACATGGCTTTCAGCAATAGGGCTAAGGGCATGGCTTGAGCAGCCCAAGGGAAGGAGGTGATCTCTATCCCAACTCACTACCTGGGGCCATCCATGCTTCCACAAACCCTCATTCCCTCCCAGGAGTGGGGACAATGAATGTGCAGGTGGAGCAGAGCACAGTGAAGGGCTGAGGCTCAGCTGTGACCACAACCCAGAGAAATGGGAGCAAATCCTCTCCTGTCCCTGCAGAAACTCTCACACTGCCCTTTCCATGGGCAGCTCCACACAAACACAGCAACATCCACAATGCAGCTTTCTCCTGGCAAATTGACCAATCATCCCTAAAGAAAATGTCAACTCCTCTGTGTCTCCTCAAATAAATCCTGTCTGATATTTTGCAGAGACACAGAAACACAGGTACACAGGAGATAAAGCTGGAAATGAGTGCACTGAGTAAAACAGGGTGAAGAATTCCTCAATTACCACCAGAGCTGTGCTGGTGCCACAGCTCACACATAATGAAAATAGGATGCATGGTTAATATATTATTTATATCATGGAAGTAAGTCTGCAATTAAAGCAGTTCAGAGCAGCTTGAGCAGGCAGAAGAAGGAGATCCCCAGGGAGGCAGAGGGCAGGTGTGCAGGCAGTGCCACAGGTACCTGGGGGCAGGTGGGGCCCTGTGTGCTGCCCCAGGGCTGGAACTGAGAGCTGGCACTGCCACAGCTGGCACAGGGAAGCTCTGGAGGGCATGGGAAAGCTCTGGGTGGCACAGGAGAGCTCTGGGTGGCACAGGGAAGCTCTGGGTGGCACAGGAGAGCTCCATGGCATGGGAAAGCTCTGGGTGGCACAGGAATGCTCTGGGGGGCACAGGAATGCTCTGGGGGGCACAGGAGAGCTCCATGGCACAGGAAAGCTCCATGGCACAGCAGAGCTGCTGCTCCCAGCCCTCCAAACCCTCACAGGGGCTGCCCAGGTCCTTTCTGTCCCTTCTTAGTACCTTGGAGGTTTATTTGCCTCCTTCTCTTTATTTAGGTCCTTCTGTGAGCTCTCCCAGACATGGGAGCTGTAATTCTGAAACCCAGCCTGCTGAATAACTTCTTGTGCCTTCCCTTTTAACACAGTTTTGCATTATTTATTGCCCCGTTCTTATCTCTTACTTTTTTTACTTCAGGTCCCATTAACTCAGTGTCAAATATTCCATAAACTTGCAAATCCAAGCAGCAGCAGGATCAGCCCATGATTTCAGTGATGTGCACAGTGATGTGCAAAAATGATGGAGTGTCAGGAACAAAATGAGACATTTCCTATGTTCCTGGAAGCCACAGAAGCTCACTTCCAGCAGAAAAGCCAGCAGCACTCACCATTTACAACAATTCTCACTGCATAATGGCTAATTAATATCCCTCTAATTTGGCTTCCAAAAGACAGCAGGCACAAATGCTCCTACCCCAGGTATTGCAAAGCTTCCCCTCCTCAGATCAGAAACAGCTGAAAATGAGCAGTGCTTATAGAACCATACTTGAATTGGAAGAGATTTTCTAATAAAATCTTCAAAACCAACCAAGGGGATTCACCTTCCAGAAACACAACTTAATAGGATGTATTAATCACACAGTCCACAAAGTAAATAAATAAGGTACATTCTCTACTTTGCAAAGTTACCAAATAGTGAATTCTAGTATGTGTTTTTAATCTTGAGTTGGATAAAACTCTGAGGGAATCTTTTTCTGGGAGTCATTTTCCATGGCATACATGAATATGTAACAGCAGAGCCCTAATGCAGGAAAATATGCTGGAATGAAAACTTCCAGCATTTAAAAATGGGTAGTGCTCCCTCTCTTCCCACTCTTACTTAACTTCCCTGAGACTTCATCCTAACACTTGGCTTAATTTTATCATTAATTTCTCTGACTGAGCAATATCTTGCCTCTAAAAATACTTTACATTAACAGTGCCTGCTAGAAATTACAGAAAATGTGTCATCTGCAGCTCCAGCTCATTCTCCTGGTGTCTGACACGAGTTCTGCTGCAGATACTCCTGAAGGGGAGTCTGGCACAGGCTCAGCATCTCCTGCAGGTTTGGAACTCGAAGCCAGAGCAGCTCAGAAAGCTTCCCAAGGCTGACACCTAGTCCGGGCTCCCTGAACTGCAGAGTGAGCAAACTGCAGCGATCACCGGTGACCACAGACAGGCTGGCATGGAAATGAACCCAAACCTGTGCTGCTCTCACCTGGGGAGTGGAAAACAGCAGCCCCGTTTCCTTGTGCTTTATTATTGCTGCATTCCCGGGAATGTTCCTGGCCAGCACTGGAACTTCTAAATCCATTGCCTGCAGGAATACAGAAAAGGAAACAGTTTGTAAGGATTTGTGGATTTTGAGGTGCTAACAATGACAATTTTAACAAGAGAATCACAAACAACAACCCAAACCTCTTTCCCACCACTCCAGATTTTTAATTTACAAACACCCTTCCCCAGAGAGCCCTGCAAGGCACAGAACCCAGACAGAACCCAGCTCTGAGCTGTGCAAAGCCTGGCCCTCAGCTCTGCTGCTCTGGATCTGATCACTATTGATGGATCGGGCAGCCTGGAGATGCACTGATGTAAAAGCAGAAATATTCATTTTGTGCAATTATCACAGTGTCAGATGGGGAAGAAATTCCCTCCCCCAGATCTTCAATGTGTTTCATACTGATTCCCTGTCACTCAGAGTCAATGCAGTTTTAATTGCTGTCATTACACTCCTGCATGAGGAGCAATTTTGCTTCAGTCCACACAGCAAGGAAACAAAACTCCAAGGAGAAAACCAGGATTTTTTATAGTTTGGACAAAACTGAAGAGACAAACAGCCAGGCTGATAAGGTACAGGAAGGGACTGCTGGGACTTAGCAACATATTTTAATAATTTAAAATCCCCAAAAAAATCACTGTTAAAATCACCACTGCAGGCGTACTAGTCTGACCATAGCATTTCCATACCCTGGCACAAACATCTGCTTTGCAGCAGTTAGAGCTAAAAATAACAGCCCTTAATGATCAAACCTGTTCTACACTTGGAATCAGAAACTGCCAGAATTTCTGGGGTCACTCAGACACAGCAATGAAGCTGCAGAGATGGTGACTGATTGAAGTCAAGCACCAATATTTAATTTTCTGCCATTTCCAAACTCTAAAGGGAAAGACATTTGTTCTGCTCAGACTTGGAGGGCAGGAACTGCCACACAAGAAAATCTTGAGCTCCCCAAATGCACAGGTACCAGTGAATTACAGCCACTAAAGGCAGGACAGATGGCCAAAGACTTCAGATGCAGGGCTGCCTTTATGCCACTGGCCTTAACCAAATGGACGGGGCTGTAAATAATTACTGCAAGAAGTGGCTTCAAATTTAATTTAGATACTTAGACTATTTCCAAGCAGTAAAAAGAACCATTTGCATTGTTGAAAAGATGCATAATTTACTGACCTAGCTCCCAGGAATAATAGCATCAAACAACATTTCAGTCCACTGGCCATCTGTTTTGTTCCATTATTTTGAGTGCAAATGTGTTTAGCTGCTCCTGCAGGAGGATGCAGGGTGTAAATTGAAGCTGGGGACATTCCCCTGTAACATCTCTAGCCAGCAACAAGGGCTGATAGAGCAAAGGCAGGGTTTATTCAGCACTCTGTCTTTGCACTGTCCCTCATTTCCTTCCTTCTAGCCCATGCATCTTCTTGTTGGCTCTCCAATTTTACTGCTTTACAATATTCCTTCATCTTTGGTGGTTTATAATCTGCTCTGGCTGTTATTGCACACGTTGGCCAAGAGTGGATTGCCCTCACAGCACAGCAGAGTCTGTCCAGCCTCCTTTTCTTCGATTTCAAATTGGCTTCTTTTTGGTAAAAGCATGAGAATGCAGTGATTTCTCCAGCAGCTGGAGCATTCCTGAGAGCACAAGGAAGGGCTCCAGTGCAACGGTGCTGGAGTTGTTCCTGCTGTTGGCAGAAGCAGAGGGAACTCAGGAACCTCTCAGCAGTGGAGCCTTTGCCACCATCCACGGCCAGGAACGTGCCCAGCTCCCGGGCTCTCAGAGGAACAGATGCATTTTTAATGCCTGCTCTAATGCTTTGTTTTCCCCCTTCAAATGCCAAACACAAACAGATCAGTTCCAGTCAGATCTCAGATCTCAGACCCAGCTGACAGAGTCATTAGTGACGGCTCCTGGCTCTCCAAACCTCCAGGCAGGTGGAACTGGATGGGATTATACATTTATCTCATTTATCTATTATATATTTATCTCACTCTGAAATACTGTTTACGCATTCATGACCTTGCTAAATGTTGAACTTTGAGGACAATGAGAGTTGCATTTCCAAACTCCAGCCTGTTTTCTCCAGCCTAGGAGCAGAAGAGTTTTATGCAGAGTTTTCTGCCCTTTTATCCAACAAGCTGTCAGCAGATGGTCCTTTCTGCTGCTGGCCCTCCCAGGGAAGAACTTCAGTGTCCTGGGCTGCCATTTCTGGGTGAGGGAGGTGAGCTCAGCCCAGCCAGCCCAGCCTGACACAGCCCAGCTTTGGAAATGTCACAGCCTGGAACTGCTGCACAGAGCTGGGCTGGTGCAGGGGCAGCTGCACCTCTGAGCTTGGCATCTGGGATGGAAATGCACCTCTGAGCATTTTGGGATGGAAATGCACCTCTGAGCATTTTGGGATGGAAATGCACCTCTGAGCTTGGCATCTGGGATGGAAATGCACCTCTGAGCATTTTGGGATGGAAATGCACCTCTGAGCTTGGCATCTGGGATGGAAATGCACCTCTGAGCTTGGCATCTGGGATGGAAATGCACTTGTCCTGTCCCACCAGCACCTGCTCTGCCTCATTCCTGTGATGCTCCCTTGGTTCTTACTCATGAGGACTCTCAGATGAGTGGAAATGCTGGAAATGCAACTCATTGCAAACAGAAATGGGAGGCTCATTTATATTGCATAACCACATACAAATGGTGTGATAATTTCTGTGCTCATGATGAACCAACATTCAGCACCCACCAAACAAATGGAATAATGAAAGGCATTTGCCCAAAGAACTTCACTTCAAGTACAGTTATTTTTTCCTGAGAAAGCACTTGATACTAAGCAGTGCCCTACTTTGACAGGTATGAAATAAAACTGGTTATTAATTTTCAATACTGATGGCAAAAGGATTAACTGAGCGTGTCATTCATTCATTAATCATTTCAGAATTAAATAACCAAATACAGCTCTTAGATTGCTTTTTGAAGGGATGTAAAAATAAATGAAAGTCCATTCTAGCAGCATTATAAGGAAGTGGGTGTTGAATCAAGCCCAGTGACAACCCCAGGAAATCAGAGTGATTTCTGCATCTCAGGTCTGCATCGTTAATTTAGAGGATTGATAAAATTACGTTCTATCCTTTAAAAATAAATAGAGAAAACATAACAAACTATCAGTTCAAGGGAAGAAAACCTTAATTGCTAACACTTGAAAAAAGCAATGTTTTAGTTTTGCCTCCCTAGCTTTGGAATGCGTCCATGAAGCACCGGCAGCCATTGCCAGCGACAGAGGGTGTGACTGAGGGTGAAGCTCTCAGAGCAGCCCCAGCAGGTGCCTCACCTCCAGGATGGCAGCAGACATGCCCTCGGAGCTGGAGCTGTTCACCAGGGCCAGGCAGCAGCGCAGGGCAGCGTGCAGCTCGGGCTGGGGCAGCTCCTGCAGCACGCGCACCCCGGGGGCCCTGCGGGACAGACAGACGGACAGCTGCAGGACAGACAGAGGGACAGCTGCAGGACAGACAGACGGACAGCTGCAGGACAGACAGAGGGACAGCTGCAGGGACTGGGCTGCTGGAACCCCCCCGTGGGCGGGGGGCGCTGGCACAGCTGCCCGGGGCCACCGGGACCCCCAGCCCTGCCCGAGCCCAGCTTGGACTGGGGGATCCTCCTGCAGCCAACCCAAACCCTCCCATGGTCCTGTCAGTACAAATCTAAATCAGAGCCAATCCGATGTGAGTTAACCCAAAACATCAGCATACTGCTTATTCTAAAACTTTAAATGTCTGGAATTCCTGGTCTGAGATGGTTCCATGCCAAAGGATCCTGACAGCCTTGTCAGCCACACAGAGCTGTGCGTGGACTTCCATTTGTATTTATATGTGCATGGACACCCATTGATTTTTACATGTGCATGGACATCCTCTGGTATTTACCTGTGCATGGACACCCATTGGTATTTACACCCACTGGTATTTACCTGTGCAGGGACACCCATTTATATTTATATCTGCATGAACATCCATTTGTATTTACACCCATTGGTATTTACATGTGTATGGACACCCATTGGTATTTACACCCATTTGTATTTACATGTGCATGGACACCCATTGGTATTTACACCCACTGGTATTTACCTGTGCAGGGACACCCATTTATATTTTGGACATCCATTGGTATTTACCTGTGCATGGACACCCATTTGTATTTACAGGATTAAAAAGGGGCACCAGCTGCCTGCCTTCAGCACAGAGCAGCTTTAACATGAACTCCTTACCTTTTAACTCTCTCCTCAACTTCACTGGTAAACAGTGGATCAACCTGGGCAGGAGCACACACAGAGTCAGTGGCACTGCAGCTCATGTTTGAAACACCCAGAGAAATAAACAAAGTTCAGCACATTTTTATCTAAAATACTTTAAATGCTGAGCTTTAAATCATGCCACAGATGTGTTCCTCAGTTGTGTCAAGGCCTGGTGTGACACCTCCTGTGTGTGCCAGGGACTGTCCCTGTGCTCACTGAGTACAAATGGGCCCCAGGGGCTCAGGAGGCAGCCTGGCTGCAGCTGGGACACTCACAGGGATGCTGCTCACATGCTCTGGCAGAAACACTTGATGGAAACCTAACAAACACAAAATTCTAACCCCAGTAAATAACAAACACAAAATTCTAACCCCAGTAAATAACAAACAGTCGTGACCAAAAAACCCAAAAGGAGCTCCGAGAGGAAGCTGAATGCTTTAAACAAAACTTTAAAGTTTTGTGGCCTTAACTTTTTTTTGAAGTTTCATAAGCTCCTATTCTTGGAATACGGAGCTGCTGAAAATTAGCTGCTGCTCCAGATTTCATTATAGGAATGAACAAAAGGAAAGCTGGAATGGAGACAAATGGTGAAAGTTTTACATAACACAGACCCCAATCCTGCAACATTACCTCGACTGCACCACCTGAGACAATCAGGCACAGAAAATCCAGGGAACAGAATACAATCTTATGGCAGCAAACAGATCATCTCATGGAGGTAAAGCAGAAAATAGAGTGGGGGCCTTTGTTCTTTCTCTTCTTAATTAATATACTCTTACTGGATGGGCTTTTATATTCACAGCAAAAATTACATGCTTCATAGATGGTGGCACTGATTTTCTTAAGATTTTTTGGTTTGAGAAGCAACCTGAATAAGAAGAGTACAGCTAAATACCAATAGAGCTGAGATGCATTTTTTCCTTTAGAAATATTTTAGTTCCATGACAGAAATATGCTCTGAAGTGTTTTAAGGAGGTTCAGCCCTTGATCCAGCCTGTGCACTGCCACTGGGCTATTTCTGGCCTGTAAAGACATTAGCTTGTGAAAAAGTGAAGCAGATTTAGAAAGACGACTGAAATGTTTATAAAATCCTCACTGGAGGCAGGAAGTGGATCTTTTGACTCTGCAGCTCAGCTTCATTACACCTGCTCTAGATTTGCCTTCCACACCAGTTCACTTCCACATCATTTTGTGTATTAGCGTGGGAAAAAGCCCAGATAAAACAAAAACGTAAAAACAGCTTTTAACAATAAAATCCTCTGTCCCCAAATTTGCAAAGAATAAAGCTGAATGAGAAAAGAGAGAAATTGTTCTTATTTGCCTACTGAGTGTCTATTTGTTTTTTATAAAGTAAATTCCTGCAAGTTTTCAGGCTCGTGTGGAGACGAATCAGAGATGAGATGATGCAGAGGGAGCACATTACCCAGATGAGCCAGGGAGGCTTTTAGTCCCCTCCAAGCAGCACAGAGTTTGTTTCACATGGCACAGCTGCCTCCTCAGAGCTTCTCCCTGCTTGGACCAGGGCTGCCTCTTCCAGCCCTGTGCTGCAGGATCTACGTGGAGAACACTGATTTCCCTCTCAAAACCCCTGCAATTACTTGTGCAACTTCAGCACAAAGTTCCACAGGCGGCACACAGAGCAGAAGAATCAGGACAGAGGCAGAACTTTGAGATTATTGGGAGATGGGGATGTATAAAACCCTCAGTTTATCCAGGCTTTGGTGCTCTGAGGTTGTGAATGGCCAAGGAGCTGGGCTGGGTTTGTGAGCTCCAGCCCTTCCTTGCTGCTGGTGCCAGACAGAGGCTGAGCCTCACTTTAATTGTGTTAATTGTGTCTGAGCCCAGCAGTGGCAGCAAAGCCAGCTGGAATGGAACAAGGACAGTGCTGCACGTGAGCAGAAGTGAGAACAGAGATAACAGCACTGAAACAACTTCACAGCACTAAAATCCTCATTAGCAGTGCCTGTGGGAAAACATCTCCTGGATGGCAGCTGCTGCCTTTCAAAACACTTGATAGGCTCATTTCTAAGTTATTCCTACTGGATTGGGCATTGCTAGTATTTGATTTACAAAAGCACACATTTTATCAGTTTGTGAGTGTCTAAAAGCCCACAGGTGTAGCAGCAGTGGCCAAGAGTGGAATCCAAGTATTCTGCTGGTTTTCTGTTCAGAACTGGGATGGAGTGAAGCAGTGAGGAACAGGCTGGGCTGCCTCAGTGCCTGCTCTGGAAAAGCCTGGGAGCAGTGCAGGAGCCCCTTCATGGGCAGTGCTGAATTGTGGAATTCTGGCCCCTTTATTGGCAGTCCTAGACTGGAATTCTGGCCCCTTCACGGGCAGTCCTGAATTGTGGAATTCTGGCCACTGGAGCCCCTGCCAAGCTCCAACCTGGTGGAACAGCCTTTCCAAGGTCTGGGCTTGGAGCTTCTCTTTCTAACAGAAATCCTCAGAGCCAGGATCAGTTTGGAGGAGAGCTGAGGCACCTCAGATGAGGTAAATGGAAATATTTAGAAATGAAAATTACAGCAGCAACTTACTGCAGGTCCAATTATGCCCAGATGGACACTGGGATCCTTTCTGTGCCACTCTGAAACAGAAGAGGAACAACTGTTTTATTAATAAAAATTATTACTTTTTTAATCAGTATAAATATCTCCATGGTTAAAGAAGAATTAGACAAATATTGTATTGCTACTTAAAAGACTGAATGTGCACAAGATTCACACTCAGCCCTCACATTACTCCTCAGAATTCAAATATTAGCATATCTGAAAGTTAGTATTTAGCCTTTCTGCTTCATGCAATCTCTTCTGACTCAGGGGTTATTTAACTAAGCTCAGATATTAATTTTGAATCACTCAGGAGAACAATGCTCTGTATAATGCAGTGGTTCTGGCCACAATCACTTGAATATTTTCCTGTGTCAAGGAACGTGTGGAAGCAACTGCAGCCATTACAATCATTACTCAGTGATATGCACAAGAGACATCTGCTGCTTTTTGACCCCAGAACAGACCAGTGCAGCTCTCTGCAAGCTGCATTTGCTCCTCAGCACCACAAGGCTCCAAGGGCTGTAAAAGTCTGAGCTGAATTTGCAGCTCAGAACACCTGAACCTCTCACAGACACAAACAGAGCCTGACAAATATTCCCTTTTGTGCTCCCAGGAAACTTCAGCCTCGTCTGAGCACTGAGCCAGAACAATGGGTGGTAAAACTTGTTTGCAGCTTCAATGGCATTAATTAGCACACATGCAAATCAATGTAACAGCCACGGGACAGCAAGATAAAAAAGTGATTTTGAAGTAGACGATCTTTTCTTTTGTCTTCCATCAATATTGCATGTAACAGCAAAACAGTTTTCTCAGCAAGCAAAATCATCAAATATTGCTTTGATTTGAATGCTCTGTTATTCCCAGCAGGATGGAAAAGACATGGCACAGAAATAATGTGTGGAACAGATCAATGGTTACATAAGAATTTCTTTTTTCAAATGTAAATATATGATGATGTTTCCTGCAATGAACAAAACAGCCCATGCCAAACTTACCAACATGAGAAGAATGCAGTGAGTGACAAACAGGAATGTTCAAATGGCCAGAACTCACCTGAGAAAGCTTCCACCAGGTACAGAGGGTCCTTCACTCTGCGCAGCCCACACACCAGCAGGAACAGATGCACAGGGCCCGAGTCTGCAGGGATGCCTGGAAATGCTTGTAAAAATCAGCCAGTGGGGCAGGGAAGGAGCTGAACCCTCCCAGCTGCTCCATCAGTGAGCACAGACAGTGGGAAAGGCAGCAAAGAGTGGATCATGAACAATTACCATTATTCCTCCTGTTTCCTGCTCTGCACCAATCCCGGACTGAGGATGTACATCACTTTATAGAGCACACGGGTTCATTTGCAGAGACAGGCAATGTGCAGGACTTGGAGAAAGCTCTGGTGCTGTTCTTGGAGCCCAGAACCAGCTCTGGGCCCTGGACAGCTCCAGGTGGTTCTCAATGGTTTTACCCCTTAGGCTGAAGCTGGTATTCCTGATCCCCAATCTA